GTAGGGGCGAAGCCATGGATAGCAAAGGCATCCGAAGACACGAAGCTTTGAGTAGTTTGGTGGAGAGAGATTGAGAAGTTCAAAGGGAGAAGAGTTGGACAGAGTGGAGGTTGGGAGGCGAATAATCAGGTAAGCTGCTGCAGTAAGTGCATAGCTCCAATAAGAGATGGGGATGGAGGCGTGAGAGAGGAGAGCTAGGCCGGTTTCAACAAGATGGCGATGGCGTCTTTCTGCGAAACCATTATGTTGAGGAGTGTGGGGTGGAGAGGTGAGGTGTGTAATGCCTTTTGTGGCAAGAAAGTCTTTCATGGCAATGTATTCGCCCCCGTTATCTGAATAAAGGGTAATGATTTGGGTTTGAAACTTTTTTTCGACAAGGTTTTTGAATCGGGTGAAGACAGGAAAGACTTCAGATTTTTTTCGTAAAGGGTAAAGCCAAATATAGTGGGTGTGATGGTCAACAAAGATTACATAATACTTGAATCCATCAATGGAATGAACCGGTGAGGTCCATACATCAGAATAAAGAAGTTCAAGTGGTTTTGTAGAAGATAGAGAAGAAATTGAAAATGGAATTTTGTGGCTTTTTGAGGTTTCACAGGCATTGCATAAAAATGATGAATCTTTATTAGAAAAGGGTAAAGAATAAAGCGAAACAATTGTTTTTAAAGTAGAAACAGAGGGATGTCCAAGCCGAGAATGCCATATTGGCAAAGGACATTTTATTGAAGCAGAAAAAGCAAAAACAGAGGATTCATCAGACGCTGGCCATTCATATCCACCATTAGTCGTCTTTCGTCGGATTAACTGGGCCCCCGAGCTGAGATCCTTCACCTGAAAGGATTGTGGGAAAAATTCCACAGACACATTGTTGTCAGTACAAAGTTGTTTCACAGAAACCAGATTGTGAGCTATCTTAGGTACTGTGAGAACATTTTTAAGAGAAAGAGAAGAGTGAGGAAGTGAGAGGGAACCCGTATGAGTTATCTGAAGACCATCACCATTTCCAACAAGCACCTCTTCTGAACCTCTGTAGGGTGAGTGTAGAGCAAGGTTTGCGAGATCAGAGGTTATGTGGTGAGAGGAGCCACTGTCAAGAAGCCACGATGAGGGATCAGGAGGTGTCATGGAAGTGTTGTAAGCACGCGGTGTTCCGTTTTGAGAACTTCTGGAAGCATTTGAAGATTGAGAGGACTGTTGTTGCACTAGGCGGAACATGGAGCAGAAATTAGCACTGTGACCCTGAACACCGCAACCCTGACATTTACCAAGATACGGACGTCGTCCTGTATTGTTGTGAGTCTTGTTGTTGGAGTTGTGATGATTGTTGGAGGTCTGAGAGCGCCAGTCACGGTTAGAACTCTTGGAGTTTTGAACGTAGTTTGCAGTCACTGGAAAAGGAGAGACTTGTGTTTGAGCACTTGTGATAGCATTTTCTCGATTCAGAAGTTTCTCATGAAGCTCAGCGAAGGAAATCGGAGTGTCACGACCGTGAATGGACTCGACTACAGACTTGTAATCATCACTGAGCCCATCAAGAATGATGTCGGTGAGATCTTCAGCGTCTACTGGACTACCGAGGAGAGCGAGAGCATCGGCTTTTGTTTTGATCAGTTGCATGTAGGCATCGATATCTTTGTTGCCTTTGACACACACTTTGAGTTGTTGCTTGAGCTGCTTGATGTGACCACGTGTTGGTTTGCCGTAAGTAGCAGAGAGAGAGTTCCAGGCCTCAAGAGTGGACTTGGATGTAGCAATGAGCGGCTGAAGCGAGATCTCAATAGTACCCATGAGTGCACTAAAGAGAAGGTTATCCTGGCGTTGCCAAGCTTGGAAGGCAGGATTTGGAGAGACGACATCGTTGACGGTGATGGAAGCCTCCGGTGGGGCGGTATCATTGTCAATGAATTTGACAAGATCATAACCACGAAGAAGAGATGTGATCTGCACACTCCAAGTCAAATAGTTTGTGGAAGAGAGTTTGGTGATATTCACAATGTTAATAGCAGTGATGGAGTTTTGAGGATCAATGTAGAGAGTAGAATGGGTGGTGGTTAGGGAAGATGAAGTATTCATCTTGAAGCGATAGAAAAAAATTTGGAGAGGATCTGTTGATTTAACAAAATCGCTCTGATACCATGTAGAGAGATGTAAGTTGTGTATCATTAACATGAGAAAGGAGTTACATATATACACAAAAGAGAGGAGATCACGCAGGATCTCTATAGCTTATCTACAGAATATATACTTTAACAATACTCAGGATACTCCTATATACAAGGAACTATAATATTCCTATACTTATCTCCTATAACATCTGCTGTCGTCCAAAAACATAACTCAAGTGGTGATGCGTTTTTTTAGTTTTGCACAAAAGCAAGAAAACTTAGAGAAAACTCGATTGAGATAAATACATGTTTTAAAGTTTGTAATATTGATTACGTAAAAGTTACAAAAAGGAAAATATATTGATTACGTAAATAATAATTTTCAATATTTCTGTAGTTTAAAAATTTGACTTTTCTTTTTTGATCAAAAAACAATTGATCAAAAAATTTGGTTTTTACTTTTTTTAAGAACAATTTCCTGATCTAATAAAGTAAAAACAGTTTTGCTAATCTCATAAAAATCTACCAGTCTTCCGCATCCGCACCCCCAATGAGCCAATCCGCATAGTATCTACAGTTAAATCATTGATATGTGTGATTTGATTTCGAACCAATCTGTTGCATGTTTCCAATGAAATGTATTACTCTTTACATTTTTCAATATTTCAATATAACTATCACTTTAATATTTTAACATTTTTCCGAGTTTAAAAATATTGTATAATAGATTAATATATTTTATATAATATACTAATAGATATTATTTAATACATGACTAATTAAATAATATAAATAAAAAATATATTAGTTATTTATAAAATTATTGGTTTTAACATTTTCAGAGATTAAAAATATTATAAAATAGATTAATATATCTTTATATAATAGACTAATATATCATTATTTAATACATGACTAATTAAATAAAAATAATTTAAATAAAAATCTAGTATTAGTTATTTATAAAATAATTTAATATACAAAATTGTATGACACTTGGTGAAAAAAAACCTAAAATATACTTATTTTAAAACAGAGGAAATATTTACTGGTGTACCAATCAACAATATATATACATGTATGATCTATATAGATTATAGAAGGTCAACGCATGCGTACATACATGTGTTACTTTTAGGAAATGGATGTGCTTAGAAAAGAAATGGATGTACTAAATCCGAAAGTGAAGAACATGCTCATATCTTCCCAAGGGATCGACCCGACAAAGAAGAGAGTCCTTATGATATTTTTGTTGGTGAGCCTTGGCCTTGCATATCACTTTGAGAACGAGATCTATGAGACTTTACGAGAGAGTTTCCAAAAGATAGAGGAGATGATGGATGGTGAAGATGATTTGTACACAGTGTCCAGTGCCGGTCCGGGTATATTTGGCGCCTAAAGCACATTTAAAAATGTTGCCCCCTAACTATAAGTTTGCCATTTTAAACTATTTCTTCTTTTTCTAATTTTGTTTACTGGTAGCATTTTTTTTACTTTAAAACATTAAAAATATAAATTAAAACACGAATACATAGCAATACAATACATACACAAAAGAAAAAGTAAGTAGCCAAGCATTGTGTTCCAAACAAGAGTAGCCAAGTATTACACTTTGATAAAATCTTGTTGACAGCGATTTCAGTTTGTAAAGTCTTCTAACTTTTTTCATAGAGTTTCATAAGAATAAACTTTTATTTGTTTGGCTTTCAGAAAATTCTATAGAAGAAGATAAAAGTTCACGGAAAAAAATGAAGAAGACTTACTTCTAAATTGGCAAAGATATGATGAACGATGGAAGATACTGGATTGTGGTAATGATCAGCATAGAAGAATGCAAATAGATGCTTAAAGCCTAATAGGGGAGAAGAGAAACGTTCACGGTCAGAAGATACTGGATTTATAAAACGATTTATCGAGTTTCATAAAACGATTTTTCGAGTTTCATAAAACGATTTCTCGAGTTTTATAAAACGATTTCTCGAGTTTTATAAAACGATTTCTCGAGTTTTATAAAACGATTTCTCGAGTTTTATAAAACGATTTATCGAGTTTTATAAAACGATTTATCGAGTTTTATAAAATGATTCTTCGAGTTTTATAAAACGATTTTTTGAGTTTTATAAAAAGATTTCTCGAGTTTTATAAAACGATTTCTCGAGTCTTATAAAACGATTTCTCGAGTTTTATAAAATGACTTCTCGAGTTTTATAAAACGATTCTTCCAGTTTTATAAAACGATTTCTTGAGTTTTATAAAACGATTTCTCGAGTTTTATAAAACGGCTTCTCGAGTTTTATAAAACAATTCATCGATTTCTCGAGTTTTATAAAACGATTTCTCGAGTTTTATAAAACGATCTCTCGAGTTTGATTAAACGGAAACTTCTTTTATAAAACGATTTCTCGAGTTTTATAAAACGATTTCTCGATTTTTATAAAACGATTTCTCGAGTTTTATAAAATGATCTCTCGAGTTTTATAAAACGGAATCTTCTTTTATAAAACGATTTCTCGACTTTTATAAAATGATCTCTCGAGTTTTATAAAACGTATTTTTATTTTTACTTTTGTGGAGACTTTTAGCCATTGATTCCGTCGTGACCGATTTTGACACCAACAAGCTCAATTTGAAATTCCTACAGCTCCAATACCTTCAAGAACTCAAAATCATTACAAGGTATGTAATCTGCTCATCTACTAGCACTTCCATCTATATATGGTTTGACTTAAAATCCTTTAAATATGTAATTCTAACGATACATGTGTGGATGCAAGATGGTACAACGAGCTGGGGTTTGCATCTAACTTGCCACCTTACTTCAGAGACAGAACTGTTGAAAACTATTTCTTTGGGCTAGCGGTGTTTTTTGAGCCACACCTCTCACGTGCAAGAATGATGTTGACTCAGTACGTCACCCCTTTAGGGATTCTAGATGACACGTTCGACAGATATGCGTCCCTTCCTGAGGCTGAAAGCCTCGCCAACAGCTTGGAAAGGTATCGAGCTTTCAGATAAACAATTTTTATGTGGTGATGATGATGATAATGATGATGATGTATAGGTGGGCGCCTGATCATAACATGGATAAACAACCAGATTATTTGAAATTCATGCTGAACTCTATATTAAACACTTTTGAAGAGTTGGAAAGAGAACTTAGGCCAGAAGGAAGATTGTACAGCTTGGATGCCACAAAAGATGAGGTAACTTTTAGAATATCTATTTTGAGATATATAACAATATTAAAACATGATTTCTTATTTTAATGTTTGCTAAGATATTTATGAAGAATCCTCTAGTAACAATGCTCTAGTTCATCACTATTATATGTGTCTTTGTGTTGGAGACCCATAGTTACTTATGGTAACCAATCAAATAAAAATATGTGCAAGTATGATTAAATGGTGGGAAAAATACGTATATCACTCTTTATCAATTAATCAAGATACCATATTCTCCCATAGCTTCAGATTTTTTTAAATTTATTGAACTCTCAGGATTTATATTTCAAATCATTTGAAAGGCTACATTTCTGCAAACTTTTGCGCATGTACAGTTCAAGAAACTTGCTAAAGCCAACTTTGATCTTGCAAAATGGGCACAAGTGGCTCACGTACCTAGCTTTATGGAGTACATGGAGGTTGGTGAGGTAGAGATCACATTGGGTGCGTCTTTGGCGGGTATTTTTATGTGTCTGGGAAAGATAGCTACGAAGGAAGCTTATGAATGGCCAAAGTCCAGACCAAAACTCTTCAAATCTTTATCTATCAAAGCCCGTCTTAGGAATGATATAACAGGTTTCGAGGTACCAATGCGTAGATAACTTAGTCAGATCTCTCGTATGTCTACTTCCTTGTTCTATCTAACATGCATAGTGACTAGGATGACATGAGTAGAGGATATGTCACAAATGCGATCAACTGCTATATGAAGCAATATGGAGTTCCCCGTAGACGGAGCTATTAGGGAGCTTACTAAAATTGTTTCAGAAGCTGATAAGACAATAAATGAGGAGTTCTTGACGACAGTTGACGTGGGACCTCGTGTTCTTAAGGCAACCATTGATTTTGCACGCATGATCACCGTCACCTATAATGTAGATGAAGGGTTCACCCATCCTGAAGGGAAAAGTAAGGAGTATATGACTTCTCTATTTCTCAATCAGATCCGCCTTTGAAATCGTTGACAAGTGTGGCATTTATACTTCTTGTACAAACTACGACGTCATGTGTGCTTGGTTGCTACTGATTAAAATATGATCGGGTACCTTTGCTTATGTATGTTGTCCTAATGTTGGCGGGTCTATTTAAATAATTGAATACATTATGTATTTATTGGGTCATATGTTATCTAAAGGTAGTTTAAAATTTTATCATATCTCAATTAGAGATATAGCCCCTTGTATAGTTTGTTCTCTCAAAATTTATGACAAACACCAATTTGCCATTCTCATACATGGTATCAGGCTCAAAAGTTGTAAAAGTTGTAGAGACAGAGGGTAAAGTTCAAGTTAAAAACAGGTCCTTTAAGAGCATCTCTAACAAGATTCTATTTTAAAGTTTTCGAAACTTTATATTTATAGTTTTAAGGTGTTATTCTCTAAAAGCAAAATTTCAAATCTAACTTAAAAATTAGTTATATTTACATTAGGGTTCTTATATTTGTCATAGTTAATGTAAATTTATAAACATTCATAAATAACAAACACACACACACACACACACACACACACACATATATATATATATTATATAACAATGTTAATTATAAAATCTTACACTATAATATAAAATTATAAATACAAATACATAATTAAATTTTAACTACAAGCATAATACCACTTTCTTGTTTTCTAATTTTTGTTTATTTTTTTCAAAATACTAAACTAAATAAAAATTTTAAGTTTTATTATAAAAATTGTATTTAGTATTATGTCTATAAACTTAAATTTATCAAAAATAAAAGTTAATTTGAAATATTTATGAGACATAAATATTTTAAGAATTAAAATGATAAACATGATTATTTATAAATTATAAATTTTATTTGTGATTATAAGGACCAAAATGCAATTAAAAGATGAAACTTCAAATTTAGAGTTTCCAATTTTGAAGTTTCTTTTTGGAAAAAAAAAATAAAGAGGTTTATGAACAAATCCTTTAAACAGACCTTTTAGAAAGAGTTATTCTTGGGTTTATTCCCTAGGGTGAACTTTTAGGTTCACCAACCAATAGTATTTGGTTATTTGATATTTGATATCTTTTCAAAAAGTAAACAAAATAATAAGGTATCTAATTTATATTATGTTTTTAGATAAAAAAATAAAAATATATAAAAAATAGTAATCGTTGCAAAAAAAAAATATATATCGTTAACAAAATCAACACAATACTAAATCCTAAACCCTAAACATTTAGGTAAATCCTAAAATTTTGGATAAATCTTAAACCCTAAAAGCATGAAAAATGAAATCCTAATAACACTAAACCCTTGGGTAAACCATGAACCCTTGAATAAGTGATAAATTTTAGGGTTCATGGTTTACCCATGTGTTTAAGGTTTAGTCATTAGTATTTAGGTTTTAGTGTTATTAACATTTAGTTTAATACTTATATTTTAGCGTTTAGGATTTACTCCAAGGTTTAGAGTTTAAAATTTAGAGTTTAAAATTTTGGGTTTAGTATTGTGTTGAGAACATTATCAATATTATTTTTTAACAATTATTACTATTTTAGCTATTTATATTTTTATTCAAAAGATATAATAAAAATTAAATTTTCTATTATTTTATTTTCTTTTTATTTAATAGATATTATTTTATTTTATTTTATATTTTTATTTAAAAGATATCAAATTAATCAAATATTATTGGTTGGTGAACCTAAAGGTTCATCCTATGGGGTAAATCCCAGATTAAATCTTTTAGAAAGAACAAAACTTAGGTTTACCCTCTAGGATAAACTTTTAATTCACATCTACTCTATAACCAATCGAATTGCCACATATATTATTAATTAAGAATATTAATATTTCTGAAAAAATCTATAATACTATAAAAAAGATAATGACGACAATTTTAACGACGCTAGGGCCGCTACCTCAACCCTAAACGATAAATTCCTAATTCTGAACTCTAAAACTAAATCCTAAACCCTAAAACTAAACCCTAAATCCAAACTTTAGACCGTAAACCCAAAACCTATACCCTAAACCCAAACCTCAAATCCTAAATCCAAACTTTAGACCATAAACCCATAACCTATACCCTAAACCCAAATATTAAACCCTAAACCCAAATATTAAACCCTAAACCCAAACAGTAAACCTTAAAACTAACCCTAAACTCAAACCCTATACCCTAAATAAAAATCCTAGACCCTAAGCCCTAAACCATAAACCCTAAAACTAAACAATAGACCCTAAACTATAAACTCTAAAACCTAACTCTAAACCTAAACCCTAAATCCGAAACCCTAAATACTAAACCCTAAATCCTAAACTCTAAATTCTAAACCCAAACTCTAAACTCTTCTAAACCCTATACTCTAAACCCAAACCCTAGACTCTAAAAGTTTGGGTTAATGTTAATGTTGTTCCTTTAAGGTTTAAGGTTTAAGTTTAGAGTCTAGATTTGGGTTTAGAATCTAGGATTTAGGGGTTAGGGTCTAGAGTTTAAGGTTTACGGTTTGGATTTAGAGTTTACTGTTGGGGTTTAGAGTTTGGGTTTACGATTTAGGGTTTACTTTTAGGGTTTAGAATTTAGGTTATAAGGTTTGGATTTAGGGTTTGAGTTTAGAATTAGGTTTTAGGGTTTAGGGTTTAGAATTTAGGGTTTGGTATTTAGGTTTAGGGTATAGGGTTTGGGTTTATTGTTTAGGTTTAAGGTTGACAGTTTGGATTTAGAGTCTAGCATTTGGGCTTAGAGTACATGGTTTGGGTTTAGGATTTAGAGTTTGGGTTTAAAGTTTAGTTTTAGGATTTAGTTTAGTTTTAAAGTTTAGAGTTTAGGTAGCGTGTCGCCTTGTTATTTTTTTTCTACCATTTTAGATTTTTTAGAAAAATATTTAATATTTTTAATTAGTTTTTTAGGTGGTAATTTGATCGGTGATAAAAAGATTGATAAATTTAAATATTTATCTTAGGAGATGAACCTAAGTTTTGTTTTTTTTAAAGAAATAAGGTAGCATAGAACAGACTGAATACAATTAATATATTTATACGGTTAACAAAAACAAATAATTTGATCAACTCGTCTTGCACGTTAGTAATCAGAAAATATTGCAAATTTAGTGATAAATCTAGCGATAGATTACATGATCTTTAAATTTTAGAAAACGTTTACATTGCAGTAGTTTTTATTTAGCAATCAGACTTGGATAAGGAAATTTCATGGCTCACGTACCGCATCGGAAACAACACAACTCAATAAAGTTTCAATAAGATTATCACTTTATCACTTTATTTTTACCAAAAAAAAGATTATCACTTTATCAGTAAAAATATATGGCGTATATACAGAATCACTTGTCATAGAAGATAAATACGGGTCCAATATTTTTAGATGTCATAAGCAAAATTTTAGCATGTTCTTACATTTTTAATCTGAATTATATACTCCATTTGTTTTTAAAAATACATATTTTAAAACGTAAATTTGTTTTAAAATGAGCCATTTTCTATGTTTTTATACATTTTGATTAGTTAACAATAGTAAATTGCAATTTAAAAAAAATTAATTATATTTACTGAATTTTATGAGTTTAGAATTTTGGAAATATATAATCACAAAATAATATGTTTTTATCAAAATTTAGTATATTTTTAATATGTGTAAATCTCACAAAAACATGCATCTTTTAATATAGGTCACATTAAAAAAAATTACAATCTAGTTGAATTCCCTTTGATAATTGGTGAAAAGAAGTTATTTTTATGTCAAAGTTATCATAAAAATTTAATTATACTAAATTATAATTTTTCTAATATCTTAATACGGAATTTTATATTTAAAAAGTAACTGTTAACAATACAATTACTTTTTATTTTTTAATATCAATAGGCTAAAGATTTCATAAATAGGCTAAAGATTCTTACGACGATTATTGATATCGAATATTAAAAAAAAGTTATATGCATATAAATACTTATAAAAGTTTTAAATATAAAAAACTAATAAAATATGCCCTCTCAAAAAATATGCCTTATGCCATTATTGAGTGGCTTGTCCTCTAGGCCAGTAGAAGATGAGGACGATTTTCTTCATAAATAGTATATTTGTTCTTTATCTTAATTATTGACTTATAAATGGTGTTTACTGATGATGGACCTCCAAACACTTCGGTTATATTTTAATAGGTAGTTCGTGCAGGCAGATCCATCTTTTAACTTGGGTATTTAGACATTTTCATTTTTTTATAGAAGGTGAAGTGACAACACTTTAGGATTAGATTATATTATTATACGTGCGAGTCATGACTATATACTTGAGTAGTCACCAGACGTGCAACCCATCCTTCTCCGTATTTAAGTATAAGTCAATCTGTTTTGGCCAACTGCCAATATTGTCTTGTTTCAAATTAGTTCTCATTCATTTTCAGACCAAGTTAAAAGAAAATGGCGACAGATGTTCTCAGCTTCAGGGACGATAGTAGTCAGGAGGATTGGCATGACTTCGAGGTTCTAGGCCGTGGAGACGAGCCCAAAATTCTGATCAAGAAGTCAAGTATGCACTCCGACTCCGAGAGACGAATCTCTATTGATCCTAAATCTCTATTGTCAAGGAACGGGAGCTTGGACATGATATCCTCAAGGCCTAAAGACATCGACGACGTGGCATTGTCTCAGCCGTTGGATCATCAAGATAAGACTAAGTTCATGAGCTGCAGCCTCCCAAACTCAGTAGCCATGTCACCTAGCCATAGCTTGAAGAACAGAACCAAGGAGCAAGTTCTTGACCTAATGCTCGTCCAAGACGCGGCCGCTGCGTTTCGAAGAAGCAAATCTTGTGGTGAAGGATGTGCTTGCCAGCCACCGCTTGATTTCGACATGACGGTGCACAAATCAAAAAATGGACATCATCATCATCATGACTTCTCTTCCTCTAACGCCAAGAGTCTCTCTCAGAAGAGTAGCGTAAACAACTCTTTCTTCTCAAAGACAGATTCTAACAAAAGTAAT